TACCAGCTACGGGCTAGTGAAAATTCTGGCGGGTAAACTATTAACTCGGGAATCACGGAAAGATATCCTTTAAAGTTTCGAATTCAGCTTTCATACGCTGGTGCGTGAAATTTTTAACTGTGTTCCAGTGTTTGAACTATTTTTGCATAGAATAAAGTAGAAAGCAATGAAAATCATTAATAGGCAATCGTTCAATGGGCTGAATTGCACAAAATGCATGATCGCACCGGCTAGTCTGGTGCGCGTTGCCATTTGTTTTCCTTCCTTCACCACCTCATTGGATTCTAGGGCCACTGTCCAACCCTGCTTACTACTATTACATGGAGGGTTGGTGCGACCCTTACCGGTTGATACCCTGCGCTGAATGGGCCGTTGTTCCTGTCCCTAGTAACTACCCTCTTCCATTCCCTCACAGGGCCTTTGAGGCCCGTACTGCCTTTTACTTTAATTATATGAAACAGTAAACTATAAAAAAAAACGCAACCATCGATTATCGAGGCCTTTCACACATTTGTCAGCGTCTTCTTCGTTCTCAAATTTCACGTAGACGTTACCAATCATGTGTTCGCCAATATTATCACAAACATTCATCTCATCAATCGGTCCAAATTTCTCCTCCAATTCTACGAAAATTTCTTCGAAGAACTCCTCGAAGTACTGTTGCTCCTGTTCGTTCACTTGCCCAACCTATAAATATATTTGCTAACAATTGGTGCAAATGCGTAAAGATCTCCTTTACAAAAGGGGCATGTTCTGGACAATACAACCCTTAGCTCACATGAATGTAATATTTTTCATAAAATTATAAACGAAAATAGCGCACAGTCGGAGGAATTCATCAAAATTTTTTGAATTGTCCTGGACCCCTGGACAATCAGTGCTGGGATTCGGTGCAAATGATGTTATTGCGATGCTTTCCTGCACATCGAATGCAGATAAACCAGGCCTTTCGACTGTGAACTACATATATTACTTCCTATTGCCTATTCGATGTATTCAGCCGCCCCCCCCCCATGCTTCATTTGAGGTTCACAGTGAGGCTAGTACTATGCGCTTGAA